CCGAGTATGTTCTATCACTCGTCGAGTCCCATGAAATCCAAGTCTAAAACTAAGTCCAATGCGTTGGGTCACTCCTTCTGACCTGCTACAACCCTTCTAACACCCAAGCGAGTTCTTTTGACCCTCAAGAGATATGGGACTTTATGCCTTGGACTCGTCGAGCCCCAAGAACGGACTCGCCGAGTCGATAACGTCCACACCCTAAATCCTCGATTTCTGATGTACAACACTTGTCCAAATGATAGATCCAAGCCCCTAAGCTCGATCTAGCACGTAAATTTACAAACTTTACGTGCATGCATGAGACTTTTGAGCCTAAAAGGCCCTAAAATGGTTTATAATGCATGGGGCCTTCCTTGAGTGTAAAAGCAACTCCAATCTGCCTTGTGACTTTTCCCAAGTGCTAGATCCGAAGTCTTGACCCCCAACCATGTTTGCAAATCATGGTTGGTTACCTCATATGGCTTAAAAGCCCAAAATCTTCCCCTAAATCTTCCCCTAAATCTTCCCTAAAAAGGGATCTAACAATTAAGCAAGCAAGGTATAGGCTTTATACCTTTCAAAGAATGCAAATGATGTCCCAAACACGAATCCTTCAGTCTCATCTTGGTCCTTTTATGCTCTTCCTTCTTCCTTGTGAACAAAACCACCAAAATCACCACAAATACCTTTAGATCTTCACACACTCGGCTAGGGTTTGCTATGGAGGGTCTTTGGGAGCAATAGGGACGAGTGGTGGCTAAAAGAGATGATTAAATAGGGTGCAAACCCTCATATTAGAGTTTTTTTTTTCCAGTTAGAGCCTACTCGTTGAGTCTGGCCGCCGACTCGACGAGTCCGCCACTTAAGTCCCGTGTCCAAACCCGCTCATACTCGACGAGTTGGGCCTTCAACTCGCCGAGTCCCAGGCCAAAAATGCAAAATACATTAAATAAAATACATATCAGGAACCAGGTGCTACAGTTGAGATGTAGACCCAACATGGGGATAGATAATTGCAGTTTTTGGTAACAAGTATGGCAATGTAGGAATGCACAAAAGGATTCGTGTGGTATGGTTGACTTGATATATATATATATATATATATATATATATATATATATATATATATATATATATATATATCTGTGTGTGTGTACTTATGCTCGTGTAGTGTCTAGACTTGGAGAAACACCGACTGTCATAATCACCATGTAATCCATATGAAGAATCAACACACTTTGAGGAGAAAAACTAAATAGGAACGACATTACCATTTAATCCTTCACCCATGGAGCTTTCTTTAAGTGGAATTGTTGGACAATGAGAAGCTTTGATTGAGTTGAATCACTAATGGATCATTTTTACACCACACAAATGGACCTAGTTAAAAGTAAATCACCCAAATGATTTCTTATCAAACTTAACAACTAAAAAACAAATCATAAAAGGGAACATGTTCTTTGGTTTTCTTTTTGTTGGACCTATAATTGATTCATCAAGAAGAAGGGTTATGGGTTCTATCAAATTCTTTGAAGCAAAAATTGAGAGACACGCACATCATAAAAGGGAAAGACTAGAGAGACGCAACCCTATATCATCGACATCTTCACCTCTGTTCATTATTATCTTCATGAAACCATCTCAACAAAATATCACAACCCTACACCATCATCTTTATAGTCAATGATTGTACATGTTAATTTTTTTCTAGTTTAGAATTGAATTAAAGAAGCTTTAGTTCCTTTTCACCCCTATGATTTTCACTTTCGTTTTTCAATACTCCTTAGGTAACATCAACAAATGATTAACCCATATGAGAACATGGATGGGGAGATAGATAGAGATAGAAATATAGAAAGGAAAGGGGGAATGAAGGAAGTGGGCAGTAGAGGTGAGGGACGGAGCGTTGGTGGCAATGTGGTAACTCAGAGGTGGTGGTTGGTAACGCAGGCGATGACTATCATTTTTTGTTTTTGTACAAATTCAATACTTATGAATGATTTATTTAGGGGTTTTCTCACGACATCTAACATGAGACTATTATTGATGATAGGGACGATTCTCTTTAGGTGCCCGCAGTGGCACCGACAACCCATGTTTTTTCTATACGCAGTGTAAATTTTTTGATATATATTTTTTTTCTTTTTTCTACTTACCGACAACACCTACTACGGATCGGCAACACCTACTACCAAATCCTACGTCCGTCCCTGATTGATGAGGTGTTTGGGGCTGTTGATGCCTATGTCCATCGTAGCCTTGACTGATTGGTTGCATAGGTCTTGTGGTTTGGCTTCGGTTTTGTATTCCGAACTCGTAACTTATTCATATGATATCTAATTTTAAAGATCTTTATATCTACATGTTCGTTTTTTAAGTCTACTATAACTTTCGTTAAAATTACTCCCGTTAAAATATAATATGTTTTTACTTACGATTTTATAAAAAAACATTCATACATACATTCATAAAAAAAGTATGGATATAAAGATCGTAATTAAAAAATATATTACTTTTTAACGGGAGTAATATAAACGAAAGTTGTAGTAGACTAAAATACAAACACATAGATATAAAGATCGTTAAAATCTGAGATAGTATGAAAAAGTTATGACGTTCAAAACACATGATTTAATCAACCAAGTAGTCGAGATCACGATGGACATAAACATTAAAAGCCTAAAACACCTCGTTAATGATTGTTCCATGTAAGATGTTGTGAGAAAAACTTAAAAGAAAACATTCATAAGTATTGAATGAGTACAAAAACAAAAATAAATTATTTTGCAACAAAAAAAAATTAAGAACTAAATGTTTATAAAAATATTAAGGGATAAATGTTTACAAAATAAGAAATATATTATCCTATTAAAACATTTTTATCGGTTAACCTGAAATAACCGGTTATAAAGACTGTATGTATATAATTTAACAAGTTGAAGGGATAAATGTTTAAAAAAAAAATTAAACTTAGCAACAGGATTTGATATAATCTAATGAAACTCAATATATGACTTCGTCAATTATTGCTGCAACCACATGTGTCAACTCCCCCATCTCACTCCAAAGTCATCATTAAATTGTTCATCACTTAATTGTAATTTTTTCTAAATAGCACTGAACCATATCTTTGTTATCAATTTAAATCAGTCAATTTCTCAGTCATAGCTTCTGAAACAAAAGCAAATAAAAAAAAAAATTGACAATAGAAAAATGTTACCTCGGATGAAATGGAGAATTATTTTAGCCGTTTAGTCTTTAAAGAACTTATGGTTTTATGAATTTTGATGTTATACGACACTTGATGCAAAATGTAGTATAGCTTTTTTTTAGATGTCACTTGAATTCTTTCAAGAAGATTGTTTTTTTTATTTTTATTTTATTTTTATTTTTTTATTTATATATTTAGATTAAAATATACTTTTGGTCCCTTGGTCTATAAAATTTGCTGATTTTGGTCCCAACAAATTTCTGTGCAAATTTGGTTCTTATTTTGATGTTTTCAAACGGATTTGGCCCACCTTCGTTTAAATTTGACTCCCAAGATGTACAAATTTTCAACGTGACTATTTTGCCAATGGACCAAAATTAAAAAAAATAATATATCCCATAAACCAAATTTATAATTTAACTTTTTTTTTTCTTTCTTTATTTTTTAATAATCTAGGATTTTTAACATTTTTTTTGTGTGCACATACTTTTAAATTTTATAACATCTATAATCTATATTATAAATTGAAGTATATATTAGTATATTAATTTTTAATTATTCTTATCTATTCATTATCTTATCAGACTGATTCTCCGAATCTTTTTGTTATTAAAACTTTGTATTGTGTAATCCGCCATATGCATTTTTAATAAACTTTTATAATTTCCATGTAGTATGACTCATATTTGGAGAATATGAGAAAAATAAAAATTTGGTCACTGTAAAATACTGCTTTTTTAGTTTTTGGTCGTGGAAAAATTTAACAATAGGGTAGTTAGATTAAAAGATGTGGGAAAAAATGTAAAAAAATTATTGAAAAGAACCCAAGTCAATTATATTATTGGACTTTCATGTTAATCTCAATCAATGCATTTTTCTTTCATCTTAATAATAATTATAGCATTTAATATTTTTAATGTCAACTTTAACATTTTCTTACTTGTGAATTATATCATTTTATTTTTACCTAACTATCATTTATAGCATTCAACATTCTTTTTTAATGTCAGTTTAGTGGTTTACAAGCTAAATATTATTTAATTTTTGATTTCTTAGTTTTTATTTATCTACATAGATTTGAATTTTTTTGCTAATTATTTTATAGCAATCCACTAACTATTTATTATTTATTTTATTTTAAGGTTTTAACCTAATTCCCCTATAAAATAATCTCCTAAATTAAAGGTTGCCGTGCATTTGTATTTTCGAAAAGGCATTAAAATGACGTTATTTGATGAAAAGGCAAGATTTTTTGTGAAAAGCTACGACTTTCCTTAAAAAATCGTTGCATGTTATTATGTTAAATTTTGATATTTAATAAACATAGACAGCTTCATTAGCTCCTTAGTTTTAAACGGGGGAAACAATTTTCTGTTTAGTTTATTAACTTTTACTTAACCTTCATTCCTTTTATATGTTTGAGATTTTAACGGACACACATTATTTTTGTTTGAAATGTTATTTACATAATTTTCTTTTCTTGGGTATAATTTGGAATCCAGTTTTCCAATTCAATTTGTGTAGGAAAATTTTTCATTTTTTTTTGGCTATTTACTTTCATTCCATAAAGGCATAAACTACATGCGCTCCCATTATATGGGAACTTGAAATACAATTACAAGGGCTATTATCGTCATAAATAAAGTGTAGGGACCAAAAGTGTCATTTGACCCAAAAGTTATGACCGGCAGTTCACCATTGAACTTATCCAAATGTCTTCTTCCATTTTGTCGGCAAAGTCTTCCCAAAATTCGCCGGAGACCATGCGCCTCGCCGGCGCCGATCTTCTCAAACTGTTATGATTCAATCATATGCTTCCATTTGAACCATTTTCAACTGGTTTTGCTACCTTGATTTCATCTTTCACCTCCGCGGCCGCCACCGCCGCCGCCGCCGCCGCCGACTCTTTTTTTCTTTTCTCTTCTTCCTCGATCCTTTTTTCCTCTTTCGTGTTCTCCAGAGCTTCGATCAAGCTCCTCAAACACCCTTCTACATCCGCCGGACTGGTCTTCGGCATCAGATTCTCGGCGACGTCCGCCGGAGTCATCTGGGTTTCTTCCAATAACACACGAATCTTTTCAAACAGATCATGTGTTTCAAGATAAAGATAGTTTCTCGCCAAAACCCTAAAAGCTTCAAACCCACAATACGATAATTCAATATGTTTATCCATTCGACCTCTTCTGATTAGTGCAGGATCGAGCTTTTCAACATGATTAGTTGTAAAAACTATTAACCGATCGCCGCCGCACGCCGACCATAAACCGTCGACGAAGTTTAACAAACCAGAAAGAGTGACTTTGCTCGCCTTTGACTCATTCTCCGGTGGTTTCACAGGTTTCTTCGCCGGATCACTCTCTTCCGGCTCTTCTTTATCCTTCTTCCGTTGTCCGGTGAGATCCATTGAACAATCGATATCTTCAATCACAATAATCGATTTACTCGAAGTCTCGATCAATAATCTTCTGAGCTCTGTGTTATCTTTTACAGCAGTCAATTCAAGATCATATATATCATAGCATAAGAAATTGGCCATGGCGGCGATCATGGTGGATTTTCCGGTTCCCGGCGGACCATAAAGAAGATAGCCACGTTTCCAAGCTCGACCGATTCGATTATAAAACTCTTCCGCGTTGCTAAAAGTTGTTAAATCATCAACAATTTCTTGCTTTTTCACAGGATCCATTGCTAGAGTTTGAAACGAAGCTGGATGTTCAAAAACTACATGACTCCATTGCGATCCGTTGTTGGTGTAAAGCTTTCTGAGTCTGTTTTTCACTTTGATTTCACGACCTTCTTTAAGAACATGATTCAAATAAGGCCCAAAGATAAGCTCCCGATGTCGTTTATGGAAGGTAAGTTTGTAGTATCGCTTTTCATCTGTGTTTGGGTAGAAAGAAAATGATTGTGATTTGAGTATGTTCTTCCCAGAAGCCCAGTAAACCTTGACGCCATTGAATTCGTCTGCAACTTCTTCATGGTCGTCCATGGATAACGCTAGTGGTTGTGTGTTGTTCTTGATGATATCGGCTTTGAAACGCTTAGCTTGCATGGAGGAGGTGGTGCCGAGGTAGGTTTCGATGGCGGAATAAGCTTCACTGCGTTTGAATCGCTCTCCGGTGAATTCGTTGAAGGTGATTTGGATGTAAGGGTAGAAGAAAGTGAGGAATCTTTGAGAGTATTTGTCGAAGAAGTTACGGATGTTGTATGGGAAGTATTGTTGGATGATTGCCCAAACGAACATGACACTAGCGAGAACTGAACCTAACTGAGCTAACAGGTCTCCCATGGCGGATTTGTTCATGGTGGTGGTGTTTGTGTGGATGATGTGAATGGAGGTTTATAAAGAAGGGAGGTTTTTGTCTTTAATTTGGGAGTCGGGTCGGGTCGGATGGGTTTTGGAAGGGGTGGCGTTTTTGGTGTTGGGTACGTGTTTTGTTTGCTTGCTCAAGAAGTTTATGATAATGAAGTCGTGAATTGTTTGTATACTCACATGGACCGTGAATTTCGGGAAATAAAAAATAATATTTTAAAAACGTTTATAAAAAGGATTTTTTTTAAAGATTTTTTTTTTCTGAATTAAAGCTTAATTTCTTACAATGAAGACTCAATAAAATTTGTTCAACAATGTTACTATTTACAAAAAACAGATAAATTTTTAGAACATAATAGTATAAGATAATGGTGAACATTTGGACCGAACCGGACCGGTTATGTAAAATATTGTGGACCGTGGGCCGGACTGGATGAGTCGTGTCCATGTCCGTGTCCGTGTCCGGGTTTTCCGGTTATTAGATTCGTTTGAACCAGTACAACTTTAATTGCATAGAGTAAAAGTCGCTAAAATAAGTTTTTGGGTTTGATACGATACAACTTGTAAAAATATTATGTTTCCGTTTCATGCATAACTAATCTACCTTGATGTTATAATATTATAACTTGCAAAATTAATTTTTCCAAATAAAATCAACTAACATATAAATCAAGTTCACCAAGATCCATTTCATATGATTTATTTGTCAAAGATGCATAAAATTCAGAATTATAGTATAAAATAATAGTTAAAAAGTTGAAATATTTCAACTTTGTTAGCTCAACTTTGAAGGATTGTAACTCACTGAATATAATACCAAAATCAACAAAATTATACTCTAAATTTATTTGCAAACTGTAAACTAAATGTTGGAAAAAACCGTAGGTCAATCCGACTTAAAACGAATGAGTTACGGTTGTTTAAAAAATTTCACAAATTACAAAATTTTAACAATCTTGTTGAAAAACTGAAAATTTTCAGCTTTGATAGCTCAATTTTGAAAGACCGTAACTCATTGAATATAATACCAAAATCAACAAAATTATAGTTTAAATTAATCTACAAACTGTAAATTAAACGTTGGAAAAAAACGCATGTCAATCCGACTTAAAATGAATGAGTTATGGTTGTTTAAACATTTTCAAAGATTACAAAATTTAAAAAATGTTGCTGAAAAGTTGAAAATTTTCAGCTTTGATGGTTAAACTTTGAAACACTGTAACTCATTGAATATAATACAAAATTCAATAAAGTTATAGTCTAAATTCATCTACAAACTGTAAATTCAACGTTGGAAAAAACCACGTGTCAGTTCGATTTAAAACGAATGAGTTATGGTTGTTTAAAAAATTTCACAGAAAACAATTTTTTTTTTAAATCGGGTCTAACCGGTTCTAAACCCAGTAAAAATCGGACTGGACCGGGAAAAAAATCAGACCGGTTTTGATTGATTCCTAGAACCGAGAATCAGCCCATGGGTTTAAAAAAACGATCCGGTCTGGTCTACCGATCCAAATACTCACCCCTAATATAAGATGATGACACTGTATGTTTATCATTTTAAGGGAAAGGATAATGACTTGAAGGGGTAACGTACTTTTAATTTTGTTTATATTTAGTCATCAAATTTATTTTCGTCTTTAATTTACCCGTTAATTATTTGAAATTGTTCACATTTTACCCTTATGATCAGTTACAACTGGTTATAAGGGTAAAATGTGAACAATTTCAAATAATTTAGGGGGAAATCAAGCCATAAAAAGTTCAATGATTAAATATGAACAAAATTGAAAGTTCGTTATCCTTTCAAGTCATTATCCCATAAATGGTTCTAAATGTTATTAAGAATAAACACAAACGAAATATGGAGGTCATAAAAGTGAGGATGTAGTAATTGTGTGATATATTTTTATTGCATAAGGTACCAAAAACAACACTTAGAAATATAGTAGGAGCAACTTCATTCACATAGAAACCGATGGAAAAAAGATTATGGTGGTTTCAAACATTTACATAAGACATAGGTGACATTTTTTACTCCAAAGCATGGAGATGGCCGTTGTAGATCATGCAAGGAAGAGAGAACATATGATAAACAAGTGTCAAGATAATGTGATGTTAGATTTGAATGAGGTTTATCTCTTTACAATAAAACGAGCTTTGATTAGAGAGTGTTGATGCATAAGATCAGGATCGTGGAACAGTACATAACTAGTCTAAGTACTAGCTTCATTTACATTGTTTGTGCATTTCGCTTAGTTTTCACTGTTTTTACTTTCAACTTGTTTTGCTAATACTTTTCTTCTTAGTTATTATGTGCATTTACCATTTCTATTTGTTTGTTGGTTCTATATGTACCTTCTCACCATGCACTTTATGATTTTCGGTCTTATTTTTTGTTTTATCCTGCATGGTCTTAAAATGTAAATGACATGGGCTACCCTCATGGTCTATCCCTGCAATGACATGGGATACCCCCATGGTCTTACAAACAAGTGCCATGGGTTACCATCATGGTCTTTCCCTGTCATGAACAAAGTCATATGTAATCAGGGATCAGATAGATAGTCGAAAAAATAATCCACCCATAAGTGAACAATCAGACAAAAACATCACAATAAGGCATTAGACCAAGAGTTCTCAGATTATCCAACTTAGACTACATAGAACCCATGCTATCATTACCACATAATCATATAACATATATTCATATCATAATCTAACATAGCACATTTCTTTGGAAACTAGCCTTCCCTAGTTGCCCTACCCTTGACCACTCCTCAATTAAGTCCTTTGCTGATCAGTCATACATAACCTTGATAACTGGCCTACCCCAATTACCCTATCCAAACATAACTCCTATTAGTACCATACAATCAGTATAAAAGACCCTACCAGTCTAGCATACAATGACACTAAGGTGCTATTTGTTTTTTCTGAGGAAAAATGTCTGTAGTCTGCGGACCACATCTGTAGGCCTCTACAGTAGAAGAGGTGGATCAAACGTCTGCAGTCTGAAAAAAAAAGACTGTTTGTTTTTTTAATATCTGAAGACTACTAAAATAAGCTGAAATCTAAATAAACTGATTTTTTTAAACTTCAAAGTGATTTTTTTAATACTTTTATGACTTTGTTATAAATAATTAACGAATCTAGATCAACTTTTATGTATTATTGTATAAAAAATAAAAATAAAAATGGTATGAATTAACGTATATATTTGATAACAACCAACAAATTTTGTTGCAAATTTATAACTAAACATTCTAATTAGTGATCAAAGAATTTGATACATAAATCGATGGAAATAAACTTCGATTTATTCAGTTAAATCCATTAAAAACATACCATAAATATTTTCTCGAGAAATTGACGATACTGTATTAAATAATGTTTTACAAAATTTGGCAAAAGAATATAAGAATATATTATGATTTTTTTTTTCATATTTACATAAACAACTTCAACGACTATTATTGTAATAAATGTTTATTTATAAATTTGTCAAAAATACCATGTTTGTATTGTCGAGCGTTTTTTTTTTAAGTTTTATAATTTTTTTTAAAATTGTTTATCATTAATAAAGTTGGAAAAAATATAAATAAAAAAAAACATAAAAAAATAAAGATATATATGTTCTTTTAAGCTAGAAGATGTCTCAAGATGTTAGAAGACTCTGGTCCACATCTGTGCCAAGAAGAGGATGTGCAGACATTTTTAGGTCTGCAGTCTTCAAAAAAACAAACAGTCTGCGAAGGCTAATGTCCGCGTGTGGTCTGCGCGGCGCAGACAGAAGAGGCTGCGCAGATCTGCAGACAAAAAACAAACACTACCTAAATGTCCCTTACTACACATATATACAAAGGAGTTATCTCAACCACTAACATACTCGTGTTCTAATAACACCTCTATCCTAAAATGCAAAGGACATACAATGGGATACATGTCATAGTGAGAAACTCACCTGATTAGCAGAACCGGAGAAGCACAACAACACTCTAACTCCTTGCACAGATAAATCTATTGACTCGTCTAACACCTAAAATAGATAAATCCTTAATTAACATCATAATCCTCCACGTTTAATGCACATGACTTAGATCAATTCAATTCGTATGGGCGTCTTTTGATAGTGAAGTATAACTTAAGAGTGATGATGAAATCTCGTCTGATTCTTGTGTTTCCAACTCCAATGTGTTTTTAAAATCAACTCTAATACCGCTCAAGCCTTGTTTCAACAACCCTTCTACTGGACAGTCTTCCAAGTCATCATCTGACTCTCAGAAGAAACCTTGGCTGAACAAGAAAGATATTGTTCATCCAAAGAACAAAGCTAGGGAATCCCTTGAGAAGGAAACTAGTTCTAGGTAATGCTCTAGGTTTCTTAAAAAATCGAAAAGAAATTTGGTTAATCAGTTAGTCCAGCTACTAGGACTCATAATACCTTCTCACCTATTAAGATTGTTAAGAGGCCCTCCAATCATGCTTGTTCAGTTGTTAAGGACACGTCTGTCAACAATTCTATGATAAATGTTATTGTTGAGACCTCACCAAAGAAAAATGGCTCTCTTCGGGCAATTTCCTCTTATGTGTTTATTGCTACCTCTGATGGCACAATTTTTAAACCAACACACTTTCCGAATTCAAATGTGCATACGAATGCCATAATCAAAGGAAGGGTTTCTCGGAACACTGTTCTTCAAAAGTCATCTAAATCTTCAGACCAAAAATTTGAATGGAGAATTAAAATTTGAAATATCCATTGAAGCACCTCTGAAAACAGTCCTTCCAGCAACTCCTCGGAAATCTGTTCCTCCGAGAAAAGCAGTGCCCAAACAATCAATTATTGAATATTACTTTTGGATAAATGAAAAGACTCTTTCATTTTGCTTCTTTCCAAAAGACTCTCGGAAAAAGTATTCCGTCATGCCAGTTGCTCAGAAATCACAAACCAAGTCTAAAGCCCATTCTAAATT